TTCGATCGAGTACATATAGATGACTACTGCTAGATCTCAGCACGCGAGAGCTCACCGGGAGCGATAATGTCTCTACTTAGCTCACTGAAATATATGTGTATCGGCTAAAATAGCGCGCATAGTTTACAGTCTGAGTACAGCTTATTTTCACTGTTGTTCTGGAAAATCTTAATCGGGATTGGGGTGTCGATGACTCGTTATATTAATCTATTGGGGTTAGGTGGGCGAGGGGGGGAAAAAATCGAAGAATTTTGGTGGGGGGGGGGGGGGGGGGGGAGAGACGGTTTATCCGAATATATCCTAATTTCGAATTATAATATATGAATGGCTGCCAGCAAAGGAAGTCTAAACAGAGCCAAAGGGAAGCGAAACAAAGAGAAAAATAAAAAAGGAACTGCTATCTTATATGAATGCAAATATGGAGATGAACCACACCATTATTTTCTTCAGTATGCAATCATTCAATATTATCTCACACCAATCATAAAATGCGACGCCAGGTTAAGATAACATGACATCCCTTCCCCGTGTCTTCCTGATTGCCACCTAGCGCGTAGAACGGGGTTCCGGTTTAACAACAGACAATAATACACAGATATAATGATACATAAGCATTATGAAAGACAAAAGGAGGAACAAGAAAAGGAATAAATAAAGGAGGCCAAAAAGAATATAAAGATAATCACCAATAAAACATGATCAAACCACACGCATGGGTCATTTTGATCTTATCCCAGTATTTGAGAACTCGAAGGGTCAGGAGGAAGCGGGGAGTGGAAGGGAGGATTGAAGGGGGAGGTCGTCGGAGGAGAGGCTTTAACCCAATTGCCCATGTGTTTCTTGAACTCCATGGGACGAGGAGAAAAAAATTCCATCACACGACGACTAAGTATATACAACACAGATGTGAAATAGGTATGCTGGACAAGAGAATAGGGGGGAGATAATACACCAAAGAAGCTTTCAAAAATTCGAGCGACAGTGATTTTATTAAGATTTATTGTCATTTTTGTCCTTGGCAGTCGTAGGAGCCGATGACGGCGGCTCCAATACATGGGTATGGTTTTTCGCATTGACCACAGTGCCATCCTCCCTCTGGAAGCACACCTGGCAGCTTCGAACCCAGTCGTCTGCCAATACATCTTCCAATTTTGCCCGCTCTCGCGGGTTGATCTTCAGCATGTGGGCAATCAGCGGTCGTGATTCCCGTGGCAAAATGCGCAGAAGGCGCCAGGGTCCCTTTATAACTTCTTGACGCTGTCCTGTCTGTCCTGCCTGCGACGATGACTGTGTTGGGGGGGACGCATCTTTCGGTGGATGTGGGTCGTTTTTGGCATTCCCGTCGACCTTATTGGAGGCAGAGCCGCGCGAGTGATGGCGATGGTGATTCGGTGAACGTGCGCTGGTTTTTATGTCGCTGTCACCACGGATGGGTTGCCTCAGGGCAGCTTGAGCAGCGCTTTGGAGATTAGGTGTGGAACTTGGGCGTGGTTTTAACAAAGCTTTGGACTCAGCGTCGGAGTTTTGAGGAGTAGGAGGTGAGGCGAATAATTTGAAGGAATTGTCGGTCATGCGTGGCTGCTTCCATGGGAATCGACGCAGGGACATGCAACAGAAAATAATCGCCAATGACCATATATCCGTAGGTCGGGGATCGTAGCGTTTCTCATCGTATACTTCGGGTGCCAAGTACGGGTCGGACCCGACAACTCCTAAATTTGGACTGTTAATGAGAAAAATAAAACGGGTGAGAGATGGTAGATTCGGGGACCATACCAGATGCGAGGACAATATCGCTCTCGAATGGGTATCTGAAAACAACAGCACTTCCAAAATCTATCAGCTTCATAATCCCGCGCTCACTGACAACAACATTATCCAGTTTCAGGTCGCGATGCGCCAAACCAACCCCATGCAGATAAGCTACCCCGCTGAGTATCTGTAAAAAGGTGCAGGCAATTTCCTCCCTCGTCATCCTCCCCGTCATGACAATGGCAAAGAGATCAAACGGAGCGTACTCCATGACCTCAAACCAACGTCCACCTTCGTGGATGATATCCATGGTCTCAATGATATTGTCGTGATGCAGTGTTGACCCAATACAAAACTCTGCCGTAACTTTTTTCGAATAATCCTTTTCAGTTTCCCATGAATGCCGATCTCGAAACTGTTTGACGGCAAATGTGACGCCATCAGAATTGCGCTTCAGCAGCCTAACCGAACCGCCAGCCCCAGAACCCAAGACTCTACCCAACTTGCCATACTTGGACTGGAGGCCATGATCATCAGCAAAAGGGACGCTAACTTGTGACTGCTGGAATTGATGATGTTTTGTTGTTTTTACAGATTCTTTCTTCGAACACGCGGTAGCAGTCGAACCGCCACTTTTATGTTTATGGCCCATCCGGAGAAAGCGCTTCAATTCTGACATGGATCCCTGGCTTTTCCCTTCATGGGTCCCGCCAGAGTCGTTAAATCGATTCTCCTTTCTCCCAGTGAAGAAACCACTTCGTCTCTCTACAGATTTTAGATCACCCCCGCTGGCTGATCGAGGAATGGGTCCGGGAGATCGCGATTGATTAGCCCGGCGTTTGGAATCTACACTAGCAAAAACAAAACGCGGATCGATCTGGGCCAGGTTCTTAGGTTGGGGGGATCTGCGGGTTCGAGAATATGGGTCGTTTTCATCTCCACTTGGGGTAACCGCGCCTGAACCTGAGGTGCTCCAGGCCTGATCAGGCTTTTGGGGTAGAGGCGGGCTTGACTCCCGCAAACCGGTGTCAGAGGACTGGGCGAGGTAGAACTTCGGTTTGCGGGCCCTTGGTTTTCTAGTGCCATCCGCTTGAGGCGTGTGGTTAGGGTGTCTGCTCGAGAAGGGGTCTGAGCCGGTGGACGGACGGTTTCCAGCTCCTGCAGAATCGTAACCTTTTCCAGAGGCCTCGTTTGATAGGGATGTTTGTGGGGTAAACTCCAACAACTGTTCTGCTGTTCCAATCCCATCTCTAAAGTACCTTTGGTCTCCCTTCTTTCCCTCCCGGCCTCCAGATCCTGTAGGGGTGAGAGCTGGTGATTGAGGTCCTGATACACTTGGTGACGGCACACCTGATCTATGTGGATCCCGGAAGCTGTGAACACTACTAGACGCTTTTGATGGTACCTGAAATATGGCTTTGTTAACCATGTATATTCAAACATCCACAGGAGGTCATGACAAAAGCCAGGAGATAACAAACAGAGAGATTAGAAACAAAGAAGAAACACTACGTACTCTTGATGCTGGAAGGGAAACCGGGTCAAAAGCGAAGTTCTGCAGCCGGGTCTCCTGTAGCCTGGACCTCTGGAGCCGCATTGTGAGGGATTCCAGGTCACGTTTCGATTCGAGTGAATGCGGATCAGAGGGTCTGGTGCTTTCTTGATCGGAGGAGGTTGGTTCTATTTCTTGGTTTACAGAGGCAAAGCGAACGGCCTGTTGCAGCTGCCCGTGCTGGGGGTGAAGCCGGTGTTCCGTGGCAGCCGCCATGGCTGATGGAATTCGCTGTTGCTCTTGCTGCTGATGCTGCTGATGCTGTTGATGCTGTTGATGCTGCTGTTGCTGCTGTTGCTGCTGTTGCTGCTGTTGCTGCTGTTGCTGCTGTTGCTGCTGTTGCTGCGGCTGGAGTTGTTGGTCTTTATCCGCGGGCGGGGAGTCTGTAGAGGAAAACCAAGTCAATACAAAAGGGAATTGCCAACGCATATCTACAGAAGGAGGTCCACTCTCCTGTCTTTGTCAGCGACGAGTGAGTCGGGAAAGAAACTGCTTTACCTTCGTGCTGGGCGTGTTGGGAAGCCATGGCCATCGGGGGCAAAAGCAGATAACGTGCGGGGAACAGAACAGGCCGATTCTGCGAGACACATCACCCCCCCACCCTTCTTTCAACTGGATTCTCTGGACAGGATGAGGATTATTTGATGATGGCCGACAACCCGGGGGCAGAGATATGCTTGGAGAGTAGAGACGCTCGGGACCCGGGACGCACGCAATCCGCGATAACGCTAAAGAAGGGCCGGTGATGAATGTGGCTGAACCGCGGGAAAGCAAAAGGGGAGGGATGTGGAGGGGCGGCAATCAACGAAAGTTTCAGCGAAAGAGTTAAAAGTACAAGAACGAACAGGGGCAGAGTAATGCGTCTGCCGGGAGTTAGTCTGAGCAGCAATGGGGGTCTATGCTGCCGGGAAGCATGCGTTCGGGATATTTACTGGACGAACGAAAGGCTGCAGGTGTTTGGAACCTGGTTTTTGAGGTGTTTTGCTTTTGGATCAAAGGGTGACTGACTGACCTGGGTAGCGGCGGATGGAACAAACGAAGAGTCAGAATGCTTTAAGTTAACTAACTAGTTGGTTAGTATAGACGAGTTAAACTAAGCAAGGAACGGGAGTGTGTTTTCTTCCACTTTTTTTTTTTCCGCTTTTTTTTCTGCTGGCCAGTGGCTAGAACTCTGCGGCTTTAGATGTCGATCTGAGAAGCCCGGAACGCCACGGCTTTGCGCAAGAAGCTTGGAAGTTCCGCTGCTGATGGCAACATGCGGGGGACGAGGTGTAGATGTAGAGACACTTGCGAATGCGAAAAGGGCGTATGTTATTTTTTTATTTTTCTATTTTTTATTTTTTATTTTTATATTTATTTATTTATTTATTATTATTATTATTATTATTATTATTATTATTTTTTTTTGGGCAGTGGTAGATAACATCTTCGCCATCAGAACGGAAACAGTCATAGTAAAGTTCACAACTTTGACGTATTTCCACGGTTCCATGACTTCCTGTGAAAGTTAAAAATATAAAAAGACGCAAAGGGGGGCCTAAGGAACATTCAACTAAGCAATTGATGACGAAAAAGAAGCAACAAAAGGAACAGCCGACTTGTCCAGCACGAAATAGTAAACTAGGCCGTTGCGTTCTGTGCCTGATTAAATAGTCGACGAGTTATCGGGAGATTCTTTTGTTTTCTTCTTTTCCTTATCGGTCAGTAGTTTTTCCATTATCTTCGCTCTGCCACAGGGTTTCCATCTCCATGCGCCAATTACCATCGCGGACTGAATAATGGAAAAAATAATGGAATGGAGTGGGATGGTTTACGCCATTGCAGATGACATTATTTAGTGTATATGCGGCCGAATCTCACATGCCCGGGAAGTCTCGTGGTCTGTGCATCCGTTAATGGAGTTGAGTCCATGCAATAATTGGTATGATGGCACGGGGAAACAGTTGCTGGTGTACATTTATGCGTCGCCCACGAAATCCCCGAGTTGTGTGCGGGTTGATCTCAGTTCTGTGACACCTGAACTAATAACTATGATTAAACAATGATGATTAATGCCTCCAGGAAGTTGTGCAGATCTGAATATTTTCCGTGGGCCGGGTTGCGGGGATGTAGCTTTTCCGCCAATGTCTGCCACGTCCCCGCCATCCCCGCCATAAAATGAAAATAAGAAAATATGAAAATATGAAAATAAGAAAATATGCGAAAAAAAAAAAAAAAAAAAAAAAAAAAAAAAAGGGATGTGGAGTGGGAATTGAGCCGGACACCAGTGTTTGTTGTTGTTGGTCAGTGCATCACAGAAAGCATATGGTCTTCCGCAGAAATTGAGTGATCTGATTGTTCGTACATAACAAATATAGTACAAACGATATCATACAGCGGTCCTGCTGGGAATATAAAATATGCAACACCAACCAATTGGGTATGGTCCCATTAATAAATACGTAAAAACGCCGTCGCAATTGCCAGTGCTAAAATAAAGAAAGAAAGAAAGAAAGAAGAGAAGAAGCAAATCTAGCACTAAATGCCCTCCAACGCAAAATACTCAACACCCTCCCCCGGTCTCAACAGAGTCACGGAACAACCTCAATGCCAACCGTCTTAGCCTGGGCAATGACACTCTTGCAGAGCGACTGCAAACCGATCCCCGACAGCCGCACCTCAGACTGCTTGATCTTCGCAATCTCATAGATATGCTTCAGCGACACCTGGCCGATGAAGTCTTTGCCCGGTGTCTCCGTGCCCCGAAGCCGACCCTTGCGCGCTTCGACGTTTGCGGCTTTGAGCAACAGCCAGGATGTAGTGGGACTTCGAAGGTCGAAGGTGAATGATCGATCGGGGCGGATGGTGACGAGGGCGGGGATAGGGATTCCGGTTACAATGTGTGCGGTGCGGGCGTTGAATTCCTGTTTGTTTTGTGTAAAATGAAAAAATTAAGAAGGTAATCAGTTAGGGAATAGAAAAGGGATATAGAGAGAAAGACAGTCTTGATATATGGACACAAGGATTAGAGAGGAGAATTGATTTTGCACACCTTGCAGAAATCCATACTTTTGACACCCTTGCTTCCAAGGGCGGGACCGACAGGAGGACTGGGGCTGGCCTGTCCCGCGCCCACGATAAGCTTGACGACCACGTCCTTTGCGACGGCCTTCTGAGCCATTGTCGCGGGGGAACGGCAGAGGGATAGGAAGTTGGGCAAAAACGAGCTGGGTGCAAAGGGGAACTTGGCTTGTCAGTCGGTGTGTCTCCCCCAGGCTGGCCGTTGTCGGGGTTGATGCTGTTGTCTCTCTTTCTTGCCGCCCAGCAGAATTTTAGCAATTCTGCCTGCTCCCGAGTCCAGCAGGGGTTAGTCACATGCTAAGCGCCCGCTTACCTTGCGCGCCAAAAGGAGTTAGTGGGGCGGTTCAACCGTGGCGCACGATGACTCAGCCCGTTCCTCAGTCCAAGTTCTGGGCCGGACTAGCTTCCTGCCGTGCGGGTTTCCTGCTAACTACTATTAGCATAACGTACCTTGGTAGCCATTCAATGGATTTTGCCTGCTTGCCCTGCTTCGGCTGCTTCCCTTGCTCTCAGCTGGGCGTAGTCTTGCCGCATATGGCCTAGCCCCGGACCCGTGGTTTATCCGGGGTGAAGTCAGCTCCGTTAGCCTCAAGAACCCCTCCCTCCCTCCCCTCCTCCTCACTCTCCGCGTAAACCTCTGCGCTTACTTAACCCTCTCTCCCCTTTACCTCTCTCCCTTTTATCTACTCTCCCTCTCTCTCTCCTCCTCCCTCCCTCCCGACTCTCTGCCACCCCTTTTGCCAGCTCCATTCTCCCACATCATGAACTGGTTCAAGCAAACGTAGGTCCATATCCATCCGTGTGCCTCTGTTCTGCCCTCTGTTGGCACCCTTGGTATCCTGCCGTTAACCCCTTCCCTTGGCAATCTAGGTTGGCCAATGTTGCCGGCACTCAAGAACCCATCTATGGCCCGAGCGCCATCCAGTCAGTCGCGGCACAGGCACACGGACAGCCAACCTCATACCACGAATTGACAAAGGATGACTTGCGATGGAAGGCAATGCAATCTACTTGCGTGGAGACCCAGACCTTCTATCTCTTCTCAGATAATGGAGATATCGCCATGCTCCAGGTTATTTATAGCAATGTCGCGTGAGAACTATCGAGAGATTGTGAAGCCCTCTACTTTTCTCCTGGGACAACTTTACTAAGAGGTTTCTTTTTTTTTTTTTTTCTTTTCTTTCTTGATCACAGCGGAATCCACACGACCTGCCATTTCAACTCCAAGATCTATGCCACGGACGGCAAGTCGGAACATAGGTGGTGTTCGGACTCCATCCACGATTACATGTTCGACGAGGACATGCTCTCCTTTGGCGGAGAAAATATTGCCCTCACCCTCAATGCTGAAGGTGACACTTACACCATCAAATCAGCCATGAATCCCGATAGCTTGGTCAACGTCACTCTGAAACGGACCGCCCCCGGTTTCGCCGCCGGAAGAGATGGCACCTCATACTTTGGCACGGATCCAAAAAATCCGTGGGGTAGCATGCGCCATGTCTTTTGGCCACAATGCCAGGTCGAGGGCATTATTATTTCTCCGGAGAGGGAGATTGATTTCAGAGGCCGCGGGGTGTTTATCCATGCCCTCCAAGGCATGAAACCCCATCATCTTGGTATGTTCCTGTCACAATCCATCCAAAACAAGTAAACCAACAAACCAGCAAAATCTTCTATATGGTGTATGTGTGATGGAAACCCTAACCATCGTCTTGTGCCCTTCTCTAGCTGCACGGTGGAATTTTGGAACTTTCCAATCTCCAACATATTCTGCCGTGTTCATGGAGTTCACAACCCCCCCTTCGTACGGATCTACTGTTGTGAGTGTTGGCGGCGTCGTGAAGGACGGCGAGATCGTATGTGCTGGACCGGTGCAACCTGCTGTCCATCTCGAATCCGAAGAAGACGACTATACGTCCTGGCCTCAACCTAAGTCGGTCAGGCTCACCTGGGATGGAAAGACAAAGGACGGTAAACCCATCAGTGCCGTTTTGGAGGGTTCTCTAGGCCGGCGTCTTGATCGTGTCGATGTTATGGCAGAGGTTCCAGGGATTATAAAATCCATAGCTGGAAGCGTTGCAGGAACGAAACCATACATTTTTCAGGTAAGAAGGAGATGGGCCCGATGGCCAAATCCTAGTTACAAAAACGAAGTCTGTAACACTAACGATACCTGCAGTATGCTCCCCAAGACAAGCTCCCACTGAAAGTTCGCATTGGGGACTCAGAAGAGAGTGAGCATGGCACTCTCTATCTGGAAGCAACTTTTATTTCTTAAACCCGCGTTTTTCTCTTTTTCTCTTTCCCCATCATGTTAGCGAGACAATTCGGTCGTTTATCACGGTTGACTTATGAACTGGCGTTGGGCTGTTGTGTTTTCTAATTTTGCTTTTTTCTCCTGTTAACCCCCCTTTGAACCCCTTTATGGTTTATGTATGCGTTGAACGTCCAACCCGCCTGTACTTGTCTATGGCGTTATGCGTCCCTGATCGGAGGCATATAAGCTCCTCCCATCACATATTCTTATTATCACAATTGAATGACACCGGAAAGCTTTTCCTGCTGTTCTGATTAGAAAACTGAACTCGATATAATATATATATATATATATATACATGTTCTTTCCTCGCTACCTCACATGAGATTGCAATATTTCTCCCTCAAGCATCGAATCGAAGCTATCCAAGATCTACCGGTAAATTTCGTCTCCCTACCTACCAACCCCTCTTCCCTCCCAGTCAGGGTATATCAACCCACATAACACAGTGGCGGGAACACAGCAACATAACAACACACTACCTCTCCATGCCTCCCATGCCCCCCATCTCTTCCTCTACACATCTTGCTCTTTTCTTCCCATCCAACCAACGTTTCCCTCCTCCCTTTACCATTCAAATTGCCCACCATTACTCCCCTACATTCTTACAACAGCAACCATTCCTTCGAAATCTCATACACCACAAACCGAAAAAAAAGAAAAGAAAAAAAGAAAAAAAAAAAAAAAAAAGGGAATGGAAACCGTCCACCCTCGAAAAGGCCGGAATAGCTCAAATGTTGTTCAATTCGTTCCTAGACGACTCAAGTGAGTTTTACTTATATATATTCCTTTTAAAACACTTTGTCCTTAGGTGATAAATACCACCTTCTATTCCCCCTGATCGCAACATACCCTTATATTAATATTCTCTGCATAAAGAAGAAGAAGAAGAAAAGAACTCTAACCACAGCATCTTCAATCATTTTCAAACATTCAGGAAGCGCCTGCGTGATAATATCATGGGAGTTAGTAAGTGTGACATTTGGACCCTGCAACCCCCTAACCATCTGTTTCTTTTCTTTCATGCACGCCAAACCCGAATTTCATATCTGCTGTTTTAGCTGCAGACTATATAATAACTAGAATTTTTATTTTTATTTTTTAACATTTTTCCCTGCTGTGTAGCTAAGCCTGCGATCCGGTTTGCTATAAGCCCCTTTTTTAAGAGTTGACATGTTACGCTGTTGGACTGGAATATTGCCCCCATATCATATTCAGGCCGGTGAGACTGAAGCCCATATGCTCTAATTGTACTAATCTCCGACCCGCACGCAGTCGTCTTGCCCGTCGTGGAGGTGTGATACGGATGCAGAAAGATGTCTACGACACCATCCGGGCGGTCCTAATCATACGCTTGAAGGAGGTATTTTTCCCCCCCTTTTTTTTTTTTTTTTTTTTTTTTTTTTTTTTTTTTTTTTTTTTTTTTCTATTCATCGCATTAGTTACTTAAGCTTCCCAAGGATTCTTACCTCTTGATGTTTTGTTGATATTCATCCTTGTTGGTTGCGGCAAGAAAAAGCACAAGAGGAGAAAGAAAAAGAGTAATATGGGTAGGTCTTGATTCGCTAATTGAACTCACTTTTTGTTTTGAATGATGTTATTACTTAGATTATTCGAAGAGTTGTTATTTTGCTGGATGGTACGAAGTATCCTGGCAGGAAGCGTAAGGTATGCTTTTCCCCTGCAACCCCCTTAGTTTTGGTTCTTTGCACATTAAAGAAAGGGAGGAATTTGATTCGAATTGTCCTGAAGCTGACCTTATTCTATAGACTGTAAATACCCAAGATGTAAGCATAGCACAGTGCATGCGGATTTTGCGCCTCGACAACTTCTGTTATTTGCCATTTAATGGCACATACACGTAACCCCCCTTTGCTTGCCTTGGCACTGGCACCGCTTCTATAAGCACTGCTAATCGATGTTGCCTCCCCTTGGTTACGAAAAAGGTGGTGTTCGTCCTCAAGGGTGTAAGTGGTATATTCTGTTTTAAATTCTAATTACACCTCATCCCCCCAAGCCGCCCCTACGTCTTCTCTGGAAAAGGGAAGACAGTCTGCGGGGTAATAACAACACACTTTTTGTTTCTGCTACCGTGGCCTTGATATTCTGACCAATTTATAGTTGGGAAATCCTGTCTACGGTTTCGAATAGACGAATAGATTGCTTCTGAGGATGTGGTGCTGTTCCCGTGTATCCCTGCCTGGATTGGAGCTCGTTCTCTTCACCGTGCTGTTGATCGTCTGGGAATTGTCAAGGCACTCCGCATTCCGCCATGTCAGGTGCAAAATATGGGAGAAGGGAGAATGGGTTTAAGTGTTTCCTATGTTTGTGCGAAAAGATCGGACTACATATTGATGCGAAATTTCGAGAGGAGCGGCGACCGGATCTTCTGTTTGGATTTTTCGGGACTTTTGTTTGGGATAACCTGCGAAGGATAGTTATGGGGGCAGTTGTGGAGGAGAGCAGAAAGGAGTATGGAGAGAGGTCGAAACTTAAAAAAATGGGCACAGATAGTTATCTAGTTAGATGTGAAATGAGAAATAAAATGAATCGGACGATAACGGTTTTCCCTTCTCCTGGACGAACCCCCAGATCTTTCTCTTCATTTCCGTGTCCGGGTTCTTTAGCTGCCCAGGCCGGTTTTGTGCATAGCTAGTTGGCATTTTCTCCTTTGCAACTGTGGTAGGATTGTTCCATTTGATAAAGTTTCCTTTTTGGGGGTCCTACAAAGATTTAATGGGGTCATGACACATGTCAGTGAATATGACGGAGTCAAATGCCAGACAGGTCCTTGAAACACTGTGGGATGATCAGATAGCAGACTATCATTCCTATAGACCATCCTCCGAATGGCCGAGCATCTCTGATGAGTAGTTCAAAGACCCCATCCAGAGAATGACAAGCTTGGACCCTCAAACGCCGAACAAAGCACACAAGGTGTTGGACCACCCATGGTTCGCTGGTTGTGAGATTGATTAAGCATTTTGCTCATCACGTATCAAATGTTGTCTTTCATAGAGAGCAAGTTAAAATAGAATAAATGATCGCAAGAGTTTCGAACCTGAATTAGTGCTCCAGGTTTTAAAGACCGATGCTGCAGCAATCTCATAGGCATGCAGACAGTAACTGACTAGTTAGCCTTAAAAACCCAGAGACCTTGAGCACTCATACAAAAGTAGACGATACTGCTCATCTCATTCTGTTATCCGTGCCGGCGGCTGCACAATTAAAAATGCCCATTAACGTAACTAACGGGATAAAGTCATCTAGCTCCAGTAGTGCCCGCCAACTCCTCGTATGGGTCATATGTGCTGGTGCTCTGGAGGGAAAATGGCGTCGCGGAGGCGTTGCCCTCCTGACAATGTGTGGCGAAGGCTTTCAAACTATCACTGTGAGTCGTTGAATTTCCAGTATCTGTAAGTTCCATTCTGCAAGTATAGTGAATCTTTATGATCAAAACATTTCGAGGTTCTCATCTGGATGTCCATGGGAGGTTGAAACAAGCTCCGTGGAACCGCCTCCACAGTTAGTTACAAATAATAACAATAGGTGGCTATGGTCAACCACCAATCTTTCTTTCGCTCAGCGGCTCATCCGCTGTGGAATAAAAGCAGGGTTTCGCCAGAAGATGTCTCATAATTCTTTGCTCAACTCAGCCATAATTCATTTTTACTTCGATTTTCAAAAGCGTTGTCAAGGTTATGATGATCCTTCAGTCAACGTTAACCTCCACCCGCTAAATTCTGAAACGAGACAGTCACCCCCGTTCAACCGGGAACCATTGTTGGATCCTGGATCTCGATGTGAAACAGTGCGATTTAATTGGGTTCTAAAATTGTTATCCTTGTTGACATGGAATTCGAGCTGTATCAGGCCCGTCAAACACCTGGTATTGTTACCTGGTTTGTTCGAGGCATTCTTCGAGCCAGTTGGTTGTTCGGAAATCCGGGATTTTGACGCCATTGACGTGCAAGAAGACATCAGAATTTAATGTTGATGATGTTCGCTGGAACTTTCATGGCAAGGTTTCCAGCTGCTGTGGGTGGTTGGGGTGGGGGAGCGGTTTTTATCTGTGCATGTGTACTTGGTAGGTCCCTTGAACTCGAAGTTCGGAGGAGTTCACATCTACCCACGAACAAGAGAACTTGGTTCTTGAATTAATGATGAGAGTTTATAGTGGGGATCTTGCCTGTTCTTTATGGTTTCCTTTTCTCTTTTTCCTTTTCTTTTCTTTTCCTTTTTTCTTTTCTTTCTTTTCTTTTCTTTTCTTTTTTTTTTGGCTGATCCTGTTTCTCAACCCTCCCTCACTTAACGTCGAAGCATGTAACTCTGCAGTATTGAACCAACATGAAACATAGCTGGGCATCAAATTTTAACTCCCAATGATCAAACATGCTGTTGACGTATCCCCATAGTTATTTCCCACTCTCACACATCCTAAATCAAGCAATAGCAGGGTAGTTAACTGCTCTCTTATCTAGACCAGGCCCAATTCCCGCCACCATCGTTTTGAACCTGTCAGGCGTCCACGAAACACAAAAGGCTGACGTTGTAACACCGCGTCATAACTAGGGATTGCGTCGGTTACCCCGCACTCCATCGCTTTTTCGTTGGAAAGAGTGTTTGTACTTTTCTTCCGCTATGACCACGCTCCGTCGGAATGTAAAATGCCCGGCTCTAAATCCTTTTTCAATTTAGTAATTTAGTAGAAAGCGAAAGGATAGGGCACGGGTAGGATTCAGGTAGGCAGTGAATATATAAAGCCACCAGAGGTTGGAGGAGAGTCAACCCAATGAGGAAATGAAATTTAATTGGTATCTTCGTTTTGTATGGACTTATTAGGCCAGCGAAGCCTCGAAAACCCACAGAATTGATGTAGAACGACAAAATCGTGAAATCAAAACCAGCAGAGATTCTCATAGGACCGTTCCTTCAATTTGTAACTTCCGTTCTGCCACCCTAGTGAAATTCGTCTTTGCTCTTTTGCTGCGATACCATATCAACCAACCCCAATAAATCAATGAATATATGTCTCCAGAAGAGAATGGAGAAATGGCAATGGAAATATCCAAGGAAAAATGAAAAGAAAAACTAAATACGGAGAAGAAAGTAGCAAATCCAGCTTGCTAAATAGGTTAATAAATTGAGGGTATCATGTGGGTAAAACGAAGGTATCATATCTTGTCAAATCATATACTGAAGAGAAAAGAAACACCAAAAACGAGAAAAAGGCAGCAATCTACCGCCCGCTTTGCTCCAAAATAACCGCCTCCAAAAAGCCCCATGCCCACCTCTCATGCTCCCGAAATTTGACGTTAAAAACATTGGGCAGCATCAAAGCAGCATTAGCATGATCATCCGCAAAAATTGGTCCATCAAGGGTCCGCAATCGACAATACGCCACAGCCTCTTCCAGAAGCTTTCTGCCCACCCCCTGATGTCGATCCGACTGCCTAACACTCCATGCACGAATAATACCCGTCCACCTCGCAGAGCTCTTACGTCTAGAAAACCGTGGCCGCAAACAGACCGTATCCGTGCTATTCACCGTCTTCGCAATCCTCAGCACGAGCACGGCGATGATATCCTCTCCACATTTCGTGACGAGAATCTCATCTCTGCGGTGCGAAATGCCATTGACGGAGCTGGCGGAAAGCCATGACCAGTTCCCCACGTGCTCAGCAAGGGCAGAGTAACCACGGACCATGTATCGAATTGCGAGGAGGGCGAATAACCCCGCCAGTGTCCAGAGGGTAAGCATGAGGACGAGGTCGCTGGGGGAGCCTGTGTAGAGAAGTTTGGCGATTGTGAGGAAGGTTATGATCGATAGGGCTTGGATGGCTGGGTGGGAGATTATGGATTTTATGGCGATTTGGCGTTGTTGGGCGACGCTATCGGAGACGAGGCGGAGGGCGGAGAGGATGTCTGCTTCCTTTGTGGCAGTGAAGATTGCTAGGGTTGGGGAATGGGGCGGTTGGGAGCTGGATTCTTTGCTGGATGCATATTTTGCAGTTGAGGACTGGGGGTTTTGCGACGGGTACTGTGTTCCATTGGGAGCTGAGAAGGCGGGGTTTAAATATGGGTTGGTTTCGGTTAAGATAGGAGGTATGGGCTTCAGGAGATCTGGAGTGTTTATGACGGGGATGGGTGGTGAGGGCGGGGAAAGGTCCTCATTGGAAGTAGATATTTGTATATTTGTCCTGAGGGAAGATAGGAAGGCTGGTAAACACTGGATTTAGCATATGGAAGAGTTCTATATACGTCCAACTCAACCACAGAATATGGAGGGGGGATCAATCCTTGTAATCGGGAACAACAGAACACCACGACATAAAACGTAACAGTTTATATAACAAATATATAATACACGTGTTAAGATATCTTAAGATATCTTAGGTATCTGCTGTTAAAAGAGAAAAGAAAGCCAGCCTACCAAGCAGAATACGCAAGCCAGGTACCTGATCTCCTACATACGATGCCCGCAGCCTGATATCGTTTACCTGCAACAATGGGAAACGCCAGAGAATGGAATTTGAAGATGTTGATGTGTTGACCCCGGTATTTGTACGAAGTCTTGGGGGGCGTTTCATGTTGGAAACAGACTAGGAAGAAACAAGTCAGAAAATAGAGATAGCCAATCGAAAACTATATTATAAGCCGAAAGGGGAGGAGGGCTAGATATGAGAAGATTCACATTTGCTCTTTTGCTTGTCTCTCTATCAGGGCAAGCAGCAAGCCGTAACCCAAGTAGGGCTGCATGAGGAGAAGAGAGCGGAGAAAAAGAAAAGATAAAAGAGGAATGAAGAAGAAATAGTATAACAATTGCTGTGAGGTTCGACTGAGTGCAAATGGTGCAAACCAACAGAGGCTTGTCGAACGAAGGATTGGCTGACATCACCGCCAAGATGTCACGGGAATCGGACTCGATTGTCGTGACTTCGGGAGAGAGAGAATTCCAGGCAAGAAATGGTTTATCAATCAGACTGTGGACCAATTCCGGGGCAAACACGGAAGCAAGCAGCAGGTGGGACCTGAAAGAGCCAACAAACAATGCATTCGATATCTCGCCCCGAAGAGGACGGGTTAATTACAAAGCAGAAGGCTAAAATTGTAGCTTAAAGGGGTGAGAAAAAAGGCAGAAGGTTCTCAATATAATCACAGCAGCAAAGAGGGAAAATGAAGAGATAGAAGACATATAGGACGGCGACAGGGGGAAAAAAATAAATAAAAGAGTACGAAGGAAAAAGGTAATCTCTAGGCCAGGGGTTTGATAGCAGTACATTAAAACGAAGAGAAAATCAAAATAGCAAGCCAAGCCATTCTAACACATTGGTACAAAAGAGATGGGTTAAAAAGGAAGGAGATCAAAAGTGATAAAAAAAAGTAAGAAACGAAAGGCCAGAGAGTAGAAAGGGAAATTGTAGTCTGGGTATATCCTCCTGTAATCTTTCCACCAAAACAAAGAACGAAAGAAAAGTTGCCGAAACAGTAAACCAGAGATATATGTATGCCCCAACGCCTAAAAAGGCGCTCGTTTTTTTTGGCCTTTTTCATGACTCTTATAAATCAACAAAGAAGAAAAAAAAAAAAAAAAAAAAAAAAAAAGCAAATCCCACCTCCTGCTTCGATTTCTTAATCAAAGAGCTGCGGCTTCAACCATCAGCTGCTCCCCTTCATCAAGAAGGGTAGTCACCTTCGCAAGATTGGATATCACCGCTTTGCCATATCCAACCAGCAGCAGCTTCTCTGCATTTGCCGGAAGTCCCAGGTATGTAGGAGGCTCGCGCTCGGGGAGGCGATTGACCCATTGGACGAAATCTCGAATGTTGGTGCCCGAGGGCAGTTTGAGGCACTCCTCGCCTTCAACCCCTGGGACAAGATTGTGCTCGTCCTCGAACGCTGCGGGGGTGAAAATGGTGTTAACAAGATTCTCGAGCAGTTGGAAATCTTCGCTGTCATCGATTTTCCCACCATATGTTTCTGTGATTAGGGTGCGGAGTAGATCCCATGGGAATTTCTGTGGGGCAACGTTGGAACGACCTTGGGAGATTAAATCGACCCAGGTGTCGATTATAAACGCGGAACATTCGTACTGTGTGGTTCATGACGTTAGTTGTATAGTTCAACATTTGGGTTAAGGAAGGGAAGTTGGAGGGGAGCAGATATAATTTACATCACTGTCGTTAAATTCCCAGAAACCCTTCCATCCCAAGTTAGGTGCATAACGAAGCCTCTCCTGAACAACTGCATGTAGGAAAGAGAGCAGCAAATAGATACGGGCTTTCTCCACGGGCGGTTTACTGGCTCTAAGAGACAAGGACGAGAGTGAATCCTTCATATTCGCACGGACACCCGCCGGCTGTTCATACATCAGCACGCGGGAAGCCCGAATGAGATTAACTGGAATCTTCGGGCTCGACTCCATGGAGAGGAAGAGTCTAAAATTGCTATGTGGTTTGAGAGAGTCCAATCGTTTCTCGAGACTCTGAAGCCAAGACGGTGCGAGGTGTACGTTCTTAACAAGAACCCATGTGCCCGTTGCTGCTGCGTTGCTGATAGCTTTGTCTGCGCTTTCAAGTCCTTCGTTCGAACCCATAGCAATGTTTGCGCATGTTGCGTGCATGCGTTCAACAAGTCCATCCACTTTATAACTAGCATCGAAACCGGGGCTCGAGCTTAGGGAAATTGGTGCAGTGGCAGTGACCTGTTCGACAACATCCTTGAGATCTCCGCTGCCTTCAAAGAGCTCCCTGCCAAAGACTTCAGTAACAAAACGCTCAGCTGTAGGGACGAATCTGTCAATGCGGAAGAGTTTCACCAGGAGAAGGGACCGCAGTTGCTGATCACGTGGTCTCGTGTCCTCCTCCCATACTGTAGGGACAAAATTCTCCGCAAACTCTTCTGTGAGGAATTTTTCCCAATCTTCAGAGGTAACGGAGGCGATAGTTGATTTAAAAAGCGACATTTGCGACGCCTTGGCCATCATGGTGT